TTATCACTAAGCAGTAGCGATAGTCGTAGAAGCAATGGTTGGCGAGACGACAACGATGCTTTGATGGAGATCAAGGTGTCAAGCTGGTGACGATGGTGATCATGACGGTGCTTTGGAGATGGAGATCAAAAGGCACAAGATGATGATGGCCATATCATATCACTTATTTGATTCCATGTGATGTTTATCCTTTATGCATCTTATTTTGCTTAGTTCGGCAGTAGCTTTATAAGATGATCTTTCACTAAATTTCAAGGTACAAGTGTTCTCCCTTAGTATGCACTATTGCTATAGTTCGTTGTTCCGAGACACCACGTGATGATCGGGTGTGATAAGCTCTACGTTCACATACAACGGGTGCAAGCCAGTTTTGCACAAGCAGAATACTCGGGTTAAACTTGACGAGCCTAGCATATGCAAATATGGCCTCGGAACACTAAGACCAAAAGGTCGAGCGTGAATCATATAGTAGATATGATCAACATAGTGATGTTCACCATTGAAAACTACTCCATCTCATGTGATGATCGGACATGGTTTAGTTGATGTGGATCACGTGATCACTTAGATGATTAGAGGGATGTCTATCTAAGTGGGAGTTCTTAAATAATATGATTAATTGAACTTTAATTTATCATGAAATTAGTACCTGATAGTTTTTTGCAGGTCTATGTTGTTGTAGATAAATGGCCCATGTTGTTGTTCTGTTGAATTTTAATGTGTTCCTAGAGAAAGCTAAGTTGAAAGATGATGGTAGCAATTATACGGACTGGGTCTGGAACTTGAGGATTATCCTCATTGCTACATAGAAGAATTACATCCTAGAAGCACCGCTGGGTGACAAGCCTGCTGCAGATGCTGCTGATAACGTTAAGAACGTCCAGTAGCGCAAAGCTGATGTTTGTTAGATAGTTCAGTGTGCCATGCTTTATGGCTTAGAACCGGGACTTCAACGACGTTTTTGAACATCATGGAGCATATGAGATGTTCCAGGAGTTGAAGTTAATATATCAAGCAAATGCCCGGATTGACAGATATGAAGTATCCAATAAGTTCTACAGCTGCAAAATGGAGCAGAATAGTTCTGTCAGTGAACACATACTCAGAATGTCTGGGTACCACAACAACTTGACTCAGCTGGGAGTTAATCTTCCTGATGATAGTGTCATTGATAGAGTTCTTCAATCACTGCCACCAAGCTACAAGAGCTTCGTGATGAACTATAATATGCAAGGGATGGATAAGACAATTTCTGAGCTCTTCACAATGCTAAATGCTGCAGAGGTAGAAATCAAGAAGGAGAATCAAGTGTTGATGGTCAACAAGAATACCAGTTTCAAGAAGAAGGGCAAAGGGAAGAAGGGGAACTTCAAGAAGAACAGCAAGCAAGTTGCTGCTCAAGTGAAGAAGCCCATGTCTGGACCTAAGACTGAGACTGAGTGCTTCTACTTCAAAGGGACTGGTCACTGGAAGCAGAACTGCCCCAAGTATTTGGCGGATAAGAAGGATGGCAAAGTGAAAGGTATATTTGATATACATATTATTGATGTGTTCCTTACTAATGCTCGAAGTAGCGCCTGAGTATTTGATACTGGTTCTGTTGCTAATATTTGCAACTCAAAATAGGGGCTACGGATTAAGAGAAGATTGGCTAAGGACGAGGTGACGATGCGCGTGGGAAATGGTTCCAAAGTCGATGTGATCGCCGTCGGCATGCTACCGCCACATCTACCTTCGGGATTAGTTTTAGACCTAAATAATTGTTATTTGGTGCCAATGTTAAGCATGAACATTATATCTGGATCTTGTTTGATGCGAGAGGGTTATTCATTTAAATCAGAGAATAATGGTTGTTCTATTTATATGAGTAATATCTTTTATGGTCATGCACCCTTGATGAGTGGTCTATTTTTACTAAATCTTGATAGTAGTGATACACATATTCATAGTATTGAAGCCAAAATATATAAGTTTAATAATGATAGTGCAACTTATTTGTGGCACTGCCGTTTGGGTCATATTGGTGTAAAGCGCATGAAGAAACTCCATGCTGATGGACTTTTGGAATCACTTGATGCTTGCGAACCATGCCTCATGGGCAAGATGACTAAGACTCCGTTCTCCGGAACAATGGAACGAGCAACAAACTTATTGGAAATAATACATAATGATGTATACGGTCCGATGAGTGTTGATGCTCATGGCGGGTATCGTTATTTTCTAACCTTCACAGATGATTTGAGCAGATATGGGTATATCTACTTGATGAAACATAAGTCTGAAACATTAGTTCAAAAAAATTCAGAGTGAAGTGGAAAATCATTGTAACAAGAAAATACAGTTTATACGATCTGATCGTGGAGGGGAATATTTGAGTTACGAGTTTGGTCTTCATTTGAAACAATGCGGAATAGTTTCGCAACTCATGCCACCTGGAAAACCACAGCATAATGGTGTGTCCGAACATCGTAACCACACTTTATTAGATATGGTGAGATCTATGATGTCTCTTACTGATTTACCGCTATTTCTATAGAGACGGCTGCATTCACGTTAAATAGGGCACCATCGAAATCTGTTGAGATGACACCTTATGAACTGTGGTTTGGCAAGATACCCAAGTTGTTGTTTCTTAAAGTTTGGGGTTGCGATGCTTATGTGAAAAAGCTTCAACCTGATAAGCTCGAACCAAAATCGTAGAAATGTGTCTTCATAGGATACCCAAAAGAGACTGTTGGGTACACCTTCCATCACAAATCCAAAGGCAAGATATCCATTGCTAAGAATGGATCCTTTCGAGAGAAGGAGTTCCTCTCGAAAGAAGTGAGTGGGAGGAAAGTAGAACTTGATGAGGTAATTGTACCTGCTCCCTTATTGGGAAGTAGTTCATCACAGAAATCAGTTCCAGTGATTCCTACACCAATTAGTGAGGAAGCTAATGATGATGATCATGAAACTTCTGATCAAGTTACTACCGAACCTCGTAGGTCAACCAGAGTAAGATCCGCACCAGAGTGATACGGTAATCCTGTTCTGGAAGTCGTGTTACTTGACCATGACGAACCTACGTACTATGAGGAAGTGATGATGAGCCCAGATTCCGCAAAATGGCTTGAGGCCATGAAATCTGAGATGAGATGCATGTATGAGAACAAAGTATGGAATTTGTTGACTTGCCCGTTGATCGGCAAGCCATAGAGAATAAATTGATCTTCAAGAAGAAGACTGACACTGATGGTAATGTTACTGTCTACAAAGCTCGACTTGTTGCGAAAGATTTTTGATAAGTTCAAGGAGTTGACTATGATGAGACCTTCTCACCCATAGCGATGCATAAGTCCGTCCGAATCATGTTAGCAATTGCCGCATTTTATGATTATGAAATTTGCCAAATGGATGTCAAAACTACATACCTTAATGGATATCTTAAAGAAGAGTTGTATATGATGCAACCAGAAGGTTTTGTCAATCCAAAAGGTGCTAACAAAGTGTGTAAACTCCAGCGATCCATTTATGGACTGGTGCAAGCATCTCGGAGTTGGAATATACACTTTGATAGTGTGATCAAAACATATGGTTTTATACAGACTTTTGGAGAAGTCTGTATTTACAAGAAAGTGAGTGGGAGCTCTGTAGCATTTCTGATATTATATGTGGATGACATATTGTTAATCGGAAATGATACTGAATTTCCTAATAGCATAAAGGATACTTGAATAAGAATTTTTCAATGAAATACCTCGGTGAAGCTGCTTATATATTGGGCATCAAGATCTATATAGATAGATCAAGACGCTTAATTGGACTTTCACAAAGCACATACCTTGATAAAGTTTTTAAGAAGTTCAAAATGGATCAAGCAAAGAAAGGGTTCTTGCCTGTGTTACAAGGTGTGAAGTTGAGTCAGATCCAATGCCCGACCACTGCAAAAGATAGAGAGCAAATGAAAGTCATTCCCTATGCTTCAGCCATAGGTTCTATCATGTATGAAATGCTGTGTACCAGACCTGATGTGTGCCTTGCCATTAGTTTAGCAGGGAGGTACCAAAGTAATCCAGGAGTGGATCATTGGACAACAGTCAAGAACATCCTGAAATACCTGAAAAGGACTAAGGATATGTGTAACGCCCCGAGACCGACGCTTCAGATGCCTTCCATGTTTTCCGAGTTTTGTCGGGTGATTTGTTTTGTCGGTTGCATTTATATTTGCATCTTGTGCATTGCATCATGTCATCATGCCATTTCGTTTTTTTAAAACTCAACTAAATAAAATGCATAGATATTTGATCTATTTAAATTGAGGGAACTCACATGGTGATTTCTCTATATAACATATCCTCCCAATATATTAGGGAGCTATAATAAATATTCTAACACATTTGCAAAATAATTCCATGTATTTTCTACTTCAAGTTTTGTCCTCAAACTTAGCCCATAATTTCTGTCATCGTTTTCCCGATCTCCACAAAAATTCTGAACATTTTTGGACTCTTCAAATATGTTTTCCTAATTCAAACTTATTTGAATCACATTCAAATATGTTCGAATGCAATCCTTCCAAGCGGTGCCAAACGTATTTTCCTGAATCAATCTCATTTTGGTGATCCGAGGATATTGGCTTCCTTCACAAATTCTTTCTCTATCCTTTTCTTCCTCTCCTTTTCTTTCTTTGTTGTTTTTCTGAAAGAAAATGGCAGCAAGGAGAAAATAAGGAGAGAGAGAGAGCCCAGCGGCCAGGCCGACCTGCTTCTCCGCAGCCGAGCTGGGTCATCTCTGTGGCCCATTTGCACCGAGGCCTCCCAGGCCCAGCCGCCCCACTCCCACCTAACCCTAACCCTCTCCCCTGCCCGATCCCCTCCTCTCCCTCTCGTTTTCCCCTCACGCCGCCAGGAGACAGCGAGCGCTGCCTCGCTCGATCCCCTCCTCTTCCTCATTGCGCCCGACCTCCTCCTCCTTTCCTCCACCTCGTGCCGCCAGCGCAGCCGCTTCCCATGGCTCCCTCATCCCACCCGTCTCTGCCCATCACCTCCTCCGCACCGTGCCTCGCTAGGACGCCGCGCCGGACCTCCTGCGCTGCCTCTCCTCTTGCTTCTCCTCATCGCCATCTTCTGCACCCCGGCCTCCTCGTCACCGCTTCGCCCGTCCCCGGCATGGCCCGCAAGGCCATCCGCATCGCCGCACCCCTGCTGCCTCCCTTTCTTGGCGACCTCGACCGCCATGCCTCGCCGGCCGTCCTCAGCGTACCGCCACGCCCTCTGACCTCCACTGTTACCCGCGCCGTCGCTGTTCGTCTTCAACCGCGAGACCGTTGCTTCATCATCCACCCCGGCTCTGGCCACCATGGATGCCTTTTGCCCAAGCTCTTCCTCCTGTGGGGTGTAGAGCTGCACCACCACCACCCGAGGCCCCTTGCAGTCTTCATTTTGGAACGCCAAGAAGCTGATGGCACTAGGGTGTGCCAAGTTCCACTACTGTTGACCCCGAACATCTACGATACATGGACCTCTACGATCAATGTGGAACCATCATGACCGTCAAGTACAACTACTCTATGTTGATATGGGAACCACTACCGTCGCAAGAACCGAGACTGGCAAGTCCGAAGACGCCAAGTACCACGACAATTGACGCATAGTACCACTACTTTTACCGTGTACATCTACCGTCGCCGATGACCCATGTAGCACAAACGCGAGATGTGTACCACTACTTCCCCTATCACCGTGAGTACTTCTACCGACCCCGACCATCAGAGCATGTACGACTACCGTCACGAAGACCGGTGGACCATACACGTCAAGTTCCACTATCGTCACGAGTATCTCTACCGACGACCCTGAACACCTACGGACGTGTACAACTACCGTGGCCCGAAGAACCATGGGCCACAAGACTCGTGTGCGACTTCCGCGAGTACCTCTACCGTCGTCGTGGACCGAGTGTACAACTACTTCCATCTACATCCCGTCGAACTCGAACCGCTCCGGAGATGCATGCTTCTAAGGTATAACGTCGAGACGACCGCCGTGGACGAATGTTGTGTGATGTATGAGATGCACAACTTGCTTGCACCATGTCCGAATTGATCCTTGCACGTTCCTCATTAGCCTTGCCGCGAACCCATGGGACACTCGGAATCTGGGATCACCCCACCATCCTTGCGTGACTCTCTTCGCCCTTTCTTTTGCACCGACATCTCAATCGAGTTACCGGAACCGGAATGTTGCCGTGGCACCATTTCCGTTGTCGTGGCACCCCTTTTGTTTCCGCCACGATGACAAATGCTTCATAACATGTTCATGTCAACTTTTAACAAAAATTGCATAAAACTTGTATATGTCATCTGCATCATGATAACAACATTTAAAATGTTTATAATTGTTGTTTCCTTTATATTGCTAAATGCATGTGGGGATTTTCAGGAATTGTTGTTTGTTGTTCCGGCCTTATTTAAAATGCCTAAATGTGTAGTTTACTTATGTTTCACCTCTTGCCATGATAACCAACATTTAATATTGTTGAGTTTCTAACTGAGAGCGAACTAAATAAAAGGATGTGCTGTTTTGTCAATATGCATCTCGTTGCATATTGAGCTCCACTTAACTTGTAGTTTTGTCTGTGCACTTTGCCATGCCATGCATATTTAAACTGGACATGCATCATACTTGATTGTGCATCATGCCATGTTTATGTGATGGTTGTTTACTATGTTGCTTGCTTCTTTCTGGTTTGCTTCTCTTGTTAGCTTCGGTTTCGTTCTAGAGTTGTGAGGAATCGTTCGACTACGACCATTTTCCTTCTTCATGGTTTCGTTCTTCCTCCTTGCGGGATCTCAGGCAAGATGACCATACCCTCGAAATCACTTCTATCTTTGCTTGCTAGTTGTTCGCTCTACCGCTATGTCGCGCTACCTACCACTTGTTTATCATGCCTCCCATATTGCCATGTCAAGCCTCTAATCCACCTTCCTAGCAAACCGTTGTTTGACTATGTTATCGCTTTTGCTCAGCCCCTCTTATAGTGTTGCTAGTTGTAGGTGCCTTGCAGTTTGTTCCATGTTGGAACATGGATATGTTGGGATATCACGATATATCTTATTTAATTAATGCATCTATATACTTGGTAAAGGGTGGAAGGCTTGGCCTTATTCCTGGTGTTTTGTTCCACTCTTGCCGCCCTAGTTTCCGTCATACCGGTGTTATGTTCCTTGATTTTGCGTTTCTTACGCGGTTGGGTGTTATGGGAACCCCTTGACAGTTTGCTTTGAATAAAACTCCTCTAGAAAGGCCCAACCTTGGTTTTACATTTTCCTAACAACCTAAGCCTTTTTTCCTTGGGTTTCCGGAGCCCGAGGGTCATCTTTATTTTACCTCCTAGGCCAGTGCTCCTCTGAGTGTTGGTCCAAACTAGAGCACCGTGCGGGACTGTCCCTTGGCAACTTGGGTTATGTTGGTACTTGTATGCTTAGCTTATCTGGTATGCCTTGAGAACGAGATATGTGCAGCTCCTATCGGGATTTGTCGGCACAGTCGGGTGGTCTTGCTGGTCTTGTTTTACCATTGTCGAAATGTCTTGTAACCGGGATTCCGAGACTGATCGGGTCTTTCCGGGAGAAGGAATATCCTTCGTTGACTGTGAGAGCTTGTGATGGGCTAAGTTGGGACACCCCTGCAGGGTATAAACTTTCGAGAGCCATGCCCATGGTTATGTGGCAGATGGGAATTTGTTAATGTCCGGTTGTAGAGAACTTGACACTTGACTTAATTAAAATGCATCAACCGCGTGTGTAGCCATGATGGTCTCTTTTCGGAGGAGTCCGGGAAGTGAACATGGTTTTGTGTTATGCTTGAATGTAAGTAGTTTCAGGATCACTTCTTGATCACTTCTAACTTCTCGACCGTTGCGTTGCTTCTCTTCTCGCTCTTATTTGCGTATGTTAGCCACCATATTTGCTTAGTGCTTGTTGTAGTTCCACTCATTACCTTATCCTACCCATAAGCTTAAATAGTCTTGATCTCGCGGGTGTGAGATTGCTGAGTCCTCGTGACTCACAGATACTTCCAAACAGTTGCAGGTGCCGATGATACCAGTGCAGGTGACGCAACCAAGCTCAAGTGGGAGTTTGACGAGGATCAGGGTCGTTACTATGTTTCGTTTCCTGATGATCAGTAGTGGAGCCCAGTTGGGATGATCGGGGATCTAGCATTTGGGGTTGTCTTCTTTTATTTTGGTTCCGTAGTCGGACCTTGATTGTATTCTGGATGATGTATGTTTAACTTGTTATTTGTGTGAAGTGGCAATTGTAAGCCGACTCTTTATCCCCTTCTTATTCAATACATGGGATTGTGTGAAGATTACCCCTCTTGCGACAAAACCACCATGTGGTTATGCCTCTAAGTCGTGCCTCGACATGTGGGAGATATAGCCACATCGTGGGTGTTACAATATGTTTCTCGTTTATGGAGGTGACAAAGAGCTCGTCGTAAACGGTTATGTCGATGCAAGCTTTGACACTGATCCGGATGACTCTAAGTCACAAACCGGATACATATTTTTATTGAACGGTGTAGTTGTCAGTTGGTGCAGTTCCAAGCAGAGCGTCGTGGTGGAATACATAGCTGCTTCGGAAGTAGGAAATGAAGGAGTCTGGATGAAGTAGTTCATATCCGATCTAGGTGTCATACCTAGTGCATCGGGTCCAATGAAAATCTTTTGTGAAAATACTGGTGGAATTGCCTTGGCAAAGGAATCCAGATTTCACAAGAGAACCAAGCACATCAAGAGAAGCTTCAATTCCATCTGCGATCAAGTCAAGGAGGGAGACATAGAGATTTGCAAGATACATACAGATCTGAATGTTGCAGACCCATTGACTAAGCCTCTCTCACGAGCAAAACATGATCACCACCAAGACTCCATGGGTGTTAGAATCATTACAATGTAATCTAGATTATTGACTCTAGTGCAAGTGGGAGACTCAAGGAAATATGCCCTAGAGGCAATAATAAAGTTTTTATTTATATTTCCTTATATCATGATAAATGTTTATTATTCACGCTAGAATTGTATTAACGGGAAACTTAGTACATGTGTGAATACATAGACAAATAGAGTGTCACTAGTATGCCTCTACTTGACTAGCTCGTTAATCAAAGATGGTTAAGTTTCCTAAACATAGAAATGAGTTGTCATTTGATGAACGGGGTCACATCATTAGAGAATGATGTGATTGACTTGACCCATCTGTTATCTTAGCACTATGATCATTTAGTTTATTGCTATTGCCTTCTTCATAACTTATACATGTTCCGATGACTATGAGATTATGCAACTCCCGAATACTGGAGGAACACTTAGTGTGCTATCAAACGTCACAAGGTAACTGGGTGACTATAAAGATGCTCTACAGGTGTCTCCGATGGTGTTTGTTGAGTTGGCATAGATCAAGATTAGGATTTGTCACTCCGGGTATCAGAGAGGTATCTCTGGGCCCTCTCGGTAATGCACATCAAGCCTTGCAAGCAATGTGATTAATGAGTAAGTTGCGGGATGATGCATTACAGAACGAGTAAAGAGACTTGCCGGTAACGAGATTGAACTAGGTATTGAGATACCAATGATCGAATCTCGGGCAAGTAACATACCTATGAAAAAGGGAACAACGTATGTTGTTATGCGGTTCGACCGATAAAGATCTTCGTAGAATATGTAGAAACCAATATGAGCATCCAGGTTCCGCTATTGGTTATTGACCGAAGATGAGTCTCGGTCATGTCTACATAGTTCTCGAACCCGTAGGGTCCGCACACTTAACGTTCGATGACGATCGGTATTATGATTTTATGTGTTTTGATGTACCGAAGGTAGTTCCGAGTCCCGGATGTGATCACGGACATGGCGAGGAGTCTCGAAATGGTCGAGACATGAAGATTGATATATTGGAAGGTTTTTTTGGACACCGGAATGGTTTCAGATGAGTTCGGGCATTTATCGGAGTACCGGGAGGTTACCGGAACCCCCCAGGGGCTTAATGGGACTACATGGGCTTTAGTGGAAGAGAGAGGAGAAGGCCAAGAGGAGGGCGCGCCCCCAAGCCCAATCCGAATTGGGAGGGGGGGCCCCTTTCCTTCCTCCCCTCTCTCCCTTCCTTCCCCCTCCTATTAGGACTAGGAAAGGGGGAACCTACTCCTAGTAGTAGGATTCCCCCCTTGGGGGCACGCCCAAGCTGGCCGGCCGGCCCCTCCTCCACCCCTTTATATACGGAGGGGGGGGCACCCCATAGACACACAAGTTGATTGTTTAGCCATGTGCGGTGCCCCCCTCCACAGAATTCCACCTCGGT